TAGTGAGAAATTCTGTAAGGACACTGTTTCTGTCATTGGAACTATGTCTGCATGTTGGAGAGTGATGGTGATTAGAGCCAGTGCCGTCGTGTGTGGGTGTGCGTGTGCCGTGAGTGTACATGTGTGGAGCATGGATACAGCGCCAGACACCTGACTGCTCTGTCTGAAGAGACATGTGTCTCAGCTACTTCTGTGTCTAAGGCTGTTGATAACCCAACCGCTTGTTCTTTCTCTAAACTGTTTCTAACACCAGTGGTCCAGGGCAGATTCCCTTGGATATCTGCTGTTCTTAAAGCCAAATCCTTCTTTAGGAAAACAGTGTGTGAGGAAGAGGCTTCACTGGGCTCCAAAGGGAGACAGGGCTGTGCAGGGGAAGGAGCCCTGACCTAGGAGTCAGACGCACACAGGCGCTTGTCTGGGCCTTGGGCCTGCCCTGGACTTCTAAGGGTTCAGTTTCTTACTCTGGAAGTGGAAACCCTGAGACCTGCTCTCCCTGTGTTACACAGTGACTGGGAGGGCCAAATGGGGCACAGCTGGCTCTTGGCGAGACAGCAGAAAGCGCTCCATGTGGTGCAGTGGAAAGCAGGCTGGAAGTGGAGGGCCTGAGCTGGAACCAGGCGTTTTGGAACCAGGCAACACCCATTCCTTTCTCTATTCATCCTCCAAGGGAGGTGCTGAGGCCCCAACAAGGCCGGAATGTACAGAAGCTTTGATGCAGTAGAGCATTATTCACATAGTGCTCACTGTGGAATCCCAGCTTCAGGCCAGGCGCTGTGGCTCACGCCTGTAATCCCAGCACTTTGGGAGGCCGAGGTGAGAGGATTGCCTGAGCCCACGGGTTCGAGGCCAGCCTGGGCAGCTTGATGAGACCTCATCTCTACAATAAATAAAAAAAGTAGCTGGGCATGGTTGTGCACGTCTAGTTCCAGCTACTTGGAAGGCTGAGGCAGAAGTATCACCTGAGTCCAGGAGGTCGAAGCTGTGGTGGCCGTGAGCATGCCACTGCACTCCAGCCTGGGCAACAGAATGAGACTCCAAGTCAAAAAGCAAAAACAAAAAACTCCAGCTTCGGCTGGGTGCAGTGGCTTATGCCTATAATCCCAGTACTTTGGGAGACTGAGGCAGGAGGATTGCTTGAGCCCAGGAGTTCTAGACCAGCCTGGGCAACAAAGCGAGACCATCTCTATAAAAAATTTTTAAAAATTAGCCTGGCATGGTGATGTGTGCCTGTAATCCCAGCTACTCAGGAGGCTGAGATAGAAGGATCACCTGAGCCCAGGAGGTTGAGGCTGCAGTGAGCTGTGATGATGCCACCGCACTCTAGCCTGGGCACCTAGGCAACAGAGTGAGACTCCGACTCGAAAAAAAATTAAAGTAATCCTATTTCCTCAGTGGCTTAGACACACCCCAGACTCTTCAGGAATGAAGGAAACATGACCACAGGCCTTGTAGACAAGGGTCATAGATGCTTCTTGAACTCAGAAGCATAAAAAAATGTGTTTTTAGAAATAAGGTGAGGCCAGGTATGGTGGCTTAAGCCTGTAATCTCAGCACTTTGGGAGGCCGAAGCGAGAGGATTGCCTGAGTCCAGGGGTTCAAGACCAGCCTGGGCAACTTGGTGAGAACTTGTGTCTCAATAAATCAAAAAATTAACCATGTGTGGTAGCACACGCCTGTTGTTCTAGCTACTTGGAAGGCTAAGGTGGAAAGATTGCCTGAGCCCAGCAGGGTGAGGCTGTGGTGGCCGTGAGCATGCCACTGTGCTCCAGTCTGGTGAGAGTGAGACTCCAACTCAAAAGAAAAAAAAAAAGGAATAAGGTACAAAGGCGACAGAATCATGGTCCTGAAGACAGTGCAAGGAGATGTGGAGGTGTTCATGATATGTTACAGGAGAAAAGCTACTGCACAATTTGAGCATCTATATATGTTATATAATATATGTTTCAGAGACTTATTCAATACTTTGTAGAGGCTTTCTTTTAGAGATGGATTTATAGGAGATCTTTATTTTGTTTTCTTGAAAAATGTTCAATAATGAACATGTTTTGCTCTTGACACAAGAAAAACACTATACAATTGTATTTATTTCTTGGTTTTGGAAGGATGGTAGAGACCTCAGTGACAAAGATTTGGGTTTATTATGTTCATCATCTGTGCCTTAGAGTAACAAAACATATTGACTACTACTTCCACTAGAGGGCACTCTTCTTAAATTTTAGACTGCCTGTGATGCTGAAGATTGGGAAAGGAAATTTCAAGGTTTCATTTCAATCTTTTTGGGGGACTCAAGCCAATTTATTTGTTTGCTTGTTTGCTTGGCTTTAAATAAGCTTTTTTATTCTGGAATAATTTTAAATTTACAGAAAAGTTGCGAGGTAGTATAGAGAGCTCCTGCCTGCACTTTGCCTAGTTTCCGGATGCTCAACAGCTTACATAATGTGCTACATTTATCAAAACTAAGAAATTAACATTGGCACATTACTATTAACTAAGCTACAGATGTTATTTGGACTTCACCAGTTTTCCCATCAATGCTCTTTTTCTGTTCTAGGATCCAATCCAGGATACCACATTGCATCCAGCAATTTTTTAAAAAAATTAAACACCCACTAACTGTAATAACCACAAATTACTGTCTATATTTTGCATGAAGATCTACATTTTCATAAAGGAAATATGAAAAAAAAGAAAGGTGATAGCAATTTTTCTTTAGTCTCTCTCTTCTATTCCAAGTTATTTAACGTTTCAACCCCTACTTTGCCATCTACAAGCCAGGCTCAGTGGCGCAGCCTGTAATCCCGTGCCTTTGGGAGGCTGAGGTGAGTGGATTGCCTGAGCCCGCGGGTTCGAAACCCGCCTGGGCAACTTGGCAAGCCCTCATGTCTACAATAAATCAAAAATCAGCCGGGCGTGGTAGCGCACACCTGTAATTCTGGCTGTAATTCGGAAGGCTGAGGTGGAAGGATCGCCGGAGCCCAGTGGGTCGAGGCTGTGGTGGCCGGGAGCGGCCACTGCACTCCAGTTTGGGCGACAGAGTGAGACTCCAACTCAAAAAAAAAAACCCCAAAAAACCCCCCAAAAAAAAAACAAAACAAAAAACTTTGCCATCTACATTTCTGTTTTTTGCAATGTATATGGAACCATAATTTTTAAAATATGTATCACTTCCAATTAATCTTTTTTTTTTCAGTTTATGTTCCCCCATCAGGATTAGGAATTTTTTTAAAAGTCCTTGTCAGTGGGCATAGTGACTCACGCCTGTAATCCCAGCACTTTGGGAGGCCAAGGATCACTTAAGGCCAGGAGTTCCAGACCAGCCTGGGCAACAGGGCAAGAGCCTGTCTCTACAAAAAAAATAGAAAAATTAGCCGGGCATGGTGTCATGCACCTGTAGACCCAGATACTCGAGAGGCTGACACAGGAGGATCACTTGAGCCCAGGAGTTTGAGGTTGCAGTGAGCTGTGACCATGCCACTGCACTCTGGCCTGTTGTAAATAAATAAATAAATAAATAAATAACGTCCTGATCTATGAAATACATTCTAAAATATTTATAAATTAAATAATTTATTTTTAAATACTTTAACAGATAAGGAATTGGGAAGCTTGATATAATAAAACAGGATTAACCCATTGGTATTCGTGAGATTATTCTCTTTTGTGTATGATTGAAAATTCTATAATTCAAAAGTTGTTTAAAGTGAAAATTTAAGCTGGGCATGGTGGCTCATGCCTGTAATCCCAGCACTTTGGGAGGCAGAGGCAAGAGGAATGCCTGAGCTCAGGGGTTCGAGACCAGCCAGAGCAACATGGCGAGACCTCATCTCCACAATAAATCAAAAAATCAGCTGGGTGTGGTGGCACATGCCTGTGGTTCCAGCTCCTTGGAAGGCTAAAATGGAAGGATCCACCTGAACCCACCAGATCAAGGCTGCAGTGGCCACCAGTGTGCCACTACACTCCAGTCTGGGTGACAGTTAGGCTACAACTCTAAAATAAAATAAAGTGAAAATTTGAAGGAATTGAACAGTAGAGGCTTTGGATTTTAATATGGTAATAACCTCAAGTCCTGTGGACTATTTGGATGGCTGCTATTCAATTTACTGTAATAGGCACTTGTAGATTCATTGCTCTGTGTCAGAAACATATGTCTCTCTCCTGCACTGCAGGAGGTTCTGGAGCAATGAGAGGAGATATCGGACCCGCCCTCCAAGAACTCGAGTCACACATATTTGAGGTTTGGAGTGGAACCAACCATGCAGTAAACACTGATCAAATGAATCTTGGCTGTTAGCAAACACTATTTGCAAGGTGGGGATTGTATTGGCATCGCTTTCTTAGTTTTATGGGTTTGGATTGAGTCATCTCAGCCATGTGGTTAATAAACGGGAGATTTAGTATTACTACTACTAGTAATAATAATTTCTAATAATAGTAATTTTAAAAATCTCTATAGATTGTAATTTTTCCCAGGATCCACAGCCCTTCATAATTATTGCAATTATCCTATTGCTCATTTAACTAAATTGTAGCTGCGTTTAACTGCCGCCTTCCTGCTTGCTGAAGCTAGCTGTCCCTTTGCCCCCAACCATCTGAGAGCCTGTCTCCTGACTCACTGAGCAGACAGGCTGGCACTGAGCTCTGCTCTGTGACAGTGGCAAAATCTGTCCAACACTTTTTTTTTTTTTTTTGAGTTGGAGTCTCACTCTGTCGCCCAGACTGGAGTGCAGTGGCCGCTCCCAGCCACCGCAGCCTCGACCTGCTGGGCTCCGGCGATCCTTCCACCTCAGCCTTCCGAGTAGCTGGAATTACAGGCATGTGCCACCACGCCCGGCTGATTTTTTTATTTATTGTAGAGATGAGGTCTCGCTGCCCAGGCAGGTCTCGAACCCGCGGGCTCAGGCAATTCACTCACATCAGCCTCCCAAAGGCACGGGATTACAGGCTGAGCCACCGAGCCCGGCTGTCCAACACTTTTTCTATCTCTTTTTATTCTGCAGCAGAAGTATTGGGAGGCCCTAAACTTGGAGCAGGTATAGATATCATGCTCTCTCTCTTCCAAGAGGGACTTCCTATGGCTTGGATTCCAATTTCTTTTTTGTTGTCGCTAGACCTCCTTGGTTGGCTGGGCCCATGACAAATTTCTTTAGCAAAAAAGGATGTAAATATGAGAGGCGAGTCAGAGGATCAGTGGAATTTTGGGGGCTCTCTCAGTTCAGAGTTTTTCCTGCTTTGGGAGGTATTCCAAACCACCTAGTAGGGACTGAGAGAAGGCGTGTGACTCAGTAAAGAAACATGGTTTGGGAGAAGGGTCTGCAAGCATGTGGGACATCTGCGGGTCACTGTGATGGCTGTGCTGGGCGAGGCTGCAGTAGCTGTTGCAATAAACAGTTTCAAAGTCATTCTGAGACCTTGGGCAGCTGGTGCTGTCTCCATGTCATCCTTGCCTCCAAGTAACAGATGCGGACGTTTTTATGACAACTAGCTGTGCCCATCATCCCTCAGGATTATTTCTGATATGAAAACAGATCATATTTTGCTCAAATTTGCTTTATGCCTGGTTTCCAGCAGTGCTTTCATCACTTAAGATGCAGTGTGTGTGTGTGTGTGTGTGTGTTTGAGTCAGTCTCACTCTGTCACCCAGGCTGGAGTGCACTGACACACAGGTCACTGCAGCCTCAACCTCCTGGACTCAGTGATCCTTCCACCTCAGCCTTCCAAGCAGCTGGAAGCACAGGCCCCACCACCATGTCTGTTTCTTCTTTTTCTTTTTTTTCTAGAGATGAGGTCATGCCAAGTTGCCCAGGCTGGACATTATTCAGCCAGGCACAGTAACTCATACCTGTAATCCCAGCATTTTGGAAGGCAGAGGCAGGAGGATCACTTGAGACCAGGAGTTCCAGACCAGCCTGGCCAATATAGCGAAACCTGTCTCTACAAAAATATAAATAGGGCCAGGTACGGTGGCTCACACCTATAATCCCAGCACTTTGGGAGGCCAAAGGTGAGCAGGTTGCCTGAGCCCATGGGTTTGAGACCAGCCTGGACAACTTGGCAAGACCTCATCTCTACAATAAATCAAAAAATTAGCTGGGCGTGGTGGCTCGTGCCTATAGTTCCAGCTACTTGGAAGGCTGAGGTGGAAGAATCGCCTGAGCTCAGCAGGTCGAGGCAACGGTGGGTATATTTGTTTTAAACCCCATATTATTCTGAAGATTCAGAAGGAAGATTTTTTTTTTTTTTTGAGTTGGACTCTTATTCTGTCGCCCAGGCTGGAGTGCAGTGGCATGCTCATGGGCACCACAGCCTCTACCTGCTGGGTTCAGGTGATCCTCCTGCCTCAGTCTTCCAAGTAGTTGGAACCACAGGCATGTGCCACCACACCTGGCCAATTTTTTTGATTTATTGTAGAGACAAGGTCTCGCCAAATTGCCCAGGCCAGCCTTGAACTCCTGGACTCAGGCAGTCCTTTTGCCTCTGCCTCCCAAAGTGCTGGGATTACAACTGTGAGCTACCGTGCCTGGAAAGAAAGAGTTTTATTTTAATTTTTAATTTTTTGAGTCTCAGTCTTACTCTGTTGCCTAGGCTGGAGAGTAGTGACACACTCACAGCCACTGCAGCCTCAAACAACTGAACTCAGGTGATCCTTCCATCTCAACCTCCAAGTAACTGGAACTACAGGTGTGCGCCACCATGCCTGGCTAATTTATTAATTTTTTAATTGTAGAGACGACATCTCACCAAGTTGCCCAGGCTGGTCTCGAACCCCTGAGCTCAGGCAATCCTCTCGCCTCAGCCTCCCAAAGTGCTGGGATTATAGGTGCGAGCCACTGTATCCAGCATAAGAACGATATTTTAAATATTTTCTGGCCAGGTACAGTAGCTCACGCCACTAATCTCAGAACTTTGGGAGGCCGGGGCAGGAGGATTGTTTGAGTTCATGAGCTCAAGACTAGCCTAGGCAACATGGCAAAACTTCATCTCTACAAAAAAAAAAAAAAAAAATCCAAAAATTAGCCAGGTGTGGTGGCACACATCTGTAGTCTCAGCTACTTGGGAAGCTGAAGCTGGAGCATCACTTGAGCCTAGCAGGTCAAGGCTGCAGTGAGCCATATTCATGCCACTGTACACCAGCCTGGGCAACAGAGTGAAACCTTGACTCAAAAAATAAATATATTTTCTAAGAGTTATACCACTTTAAAGAGTTCACTTGATCAAGGTAGCAGATTGTTTCTGTTCACAGGCAGCTGAATTGGTCAGGACTCGTAGGAATAACTTTTTTAAGAAGCTGGAAGCTGGGTGCAGTGGCTCACACCTGTAATCCCAGCACTTTGGGAAGCCAGGGCAGGAAAATTGCTGGAGCCCAGAAGTTCAAGACCAGTTTAGGCAAAACAGTGAGATCTCATCTCTATAAAAAATTTTTAAAAATTAGCAGGGAATGGTGGTGCATGCCCGGAGTCCAGTTACTCGGGAGGCTGAGGCAAGAGGATCACTTGAGCCCTGGAGGTTAAGGCTGCAGTGAGCCGTGATGATGCCATGTCACTTGAGCCTAGGCGACAGAGTGGAACCCTCACTCATAAAAAAGCTGGAGCAGGGCTGAGCTCGGTGGCTCAGCCTGTAATCCCAGTGCTTTGGGAGGCCGAGGTGAGTGGATTGCCTGAGCCTGAGGGTTCAAGACCCACCTGGGCAACTTGGCAAGAGACTTCATCTCTACAATAAATCAAAAAAATTAGCCGGGCGTGGTAGCGTGCGCCTGTAGTTCCAGCTACTTGGAAGGCTGAGGCGGAAGGATTGCCAAAGCCCAGCAGGTTGAGGCTGCGGTGGCCAGGAGCGTGCCACTGCATTCCATTCTGGCGATGGAGTGAGACTCCAATTCAAAAAAAAAAAAAAAAGCTGGAGCAGTGGTTCTCAATCATCAGGCCATCTAAGTATCACGCTAGGGGCTTATTAAAATGCCACACCCTAGCCGGGCTGGGTGGCTCAGCCTGTAATCCCGCGCCTTTGGGAGGCTGAGGTGAGTGAATTGCTTGAGCCCGCGGGTTCAAGACCCACCTGGGCAACTTGGCGAGACCTCATCTCTACAGTAAATCAAAATGAGCCGGGCGTGGTAGCACGCACCTGTAGTTCCAGCTACTCGGAAGGCTGAGGTGGAAGGATCGCCGGAGCCCAGCAGGTCGAGGCTGCGGTGGCCGGGAGCAGCCACTGCACTCCAGTCTGGGTGACAGAGTGAGACTCCAACTCAAAAAAAAAAAAAAGCCACACCTTAGGTCTCAACCCACAGTGAGAGAGGTTAGAGTGGATACCAGCATCCATCACTTTAGCCAGCAGCCTGGATGCTTCTGGTGCAGTTGGTACAGAACACACTCTGAGAATGGTGATCTGGGACTTGGGCCTCAGCCTGCAAACAGCATTCATCAGACATCCCTGGCCAGCCTCAGGAGCAGAACAGGTCCCACTTCCACCACTTAGGATCTTTGATAATGTTAGGAAGGAATCTGGATGAAGGCTGCAACCACAGTAGATGAGACGTGTGGAGGGAAGTGGCTAGTACTGCCTCAGGCTAGTATGGGGTGAGATTCACACACCACATCCACTTAGCCCCTGGCCTGCAGTCACTGGGGATGTGGTGGTCTTTAGCAGGGTGGCTTTTCTGAATTCACGTTAGAACTCAGTTCAGTTATTATCAGCAAATCATTAATTGGGCTCTTTTTCTGTTCAAAACATGCCAGTTTGTGTTCTGTGACAGGTATGACATGGGCATTGTCTGACAGTGGCTCAGGGAGCCTTGAAGACCTCCTCTGGGATCTCTTAGGACTGCACTGTTTGGTTCAGCTTAAGTCTGAGCAGCTGGTAGAACATGATTCTTGGCATGCATGCTTGTGCCTGGTTCTATTATCTTGCCCAAATAGGTCATCTGGTCCAGCCTGACACATCCTATGTCACTTCTGCTTACTTCCTGGGTCTCCTGATATTGTCAAATGTGACCTGGTACCTCAGAATCGCCAGTCATGGAGGCTCAGAGATGGAAGGGATCTTGTTATCTAGTTGCTAAGCCAACACCTCGGCTTATACCTGGCGAAACATGGTGAAACTGAGGCCCAAAGAAGCAAAAGCAAATTAGTGACAGGAGGTGGCTTGAGCCCATCCCATCCCACTCGCATCCTCGACTGGACCTTCAAAGGCAGCACTAAGGATCCCCTTGATCTTGCCCCATGTGTAAAGTCCTCTCTCTAGTCCATCACATCAGAACAATAGGAGGATCCTGCTAACTGCTTCGTCAGTGTGTTGTGTACCCACTTGTTATTAACCTTTCGCTCACCCCTACAGACTTCAGTTTCCCGTGCTTATCTGAGTCAGAGTGATGAAATATTCTCTGGAAGTGCCTACCACTCTGAACTGGGTTTTCAATGTTTTTGAGAAGTCTGTTGAGCCTTGGGTTTAGAGGAAACACCATGTAGGGGTCAGGGGCATACCTGTGCCCTGCTCCTAAGGCTCTCTTCATCTACCTGAGACAAGGCAGATGTCCACGGCCAGGGCTGTCCATGCCCTGGCCAAATAAGTGATCTAGGTAATACAAAGAGAGAAGGGGGTGAGAGCTCAGTGGGCTACTGCGGTGACAGTAGGCTTCCTGGTGGAAGAGGTATTTACCTGGGTCATAAAGAGTAGGTTGAATTTGCCTGGGTTTTTTTTTTCCAGAAATGAGTTAGGTATGGAGGTAGGAATTCTCAGGATAAAGGGAACATGACTCAGTCTCACTAAATAAGGACTTGGCAAAAGCAGTAGAAAAAGAGGGTGGGGCTGGGTGCGGTGGCTCAAACCTGTAATCCCAGCACTTTGGGAGGCCAAGGTGAGAGACTTGCCGAGTTCAAGGGTTTGAGACCAGCCTGGGTAACTTGGTAAGACCTCATCTCTACAATAAATCAAAAAATAAGCCGGGTGTGGTAGCACATGTCTATAGTTCCAGCTACTTAGAAGGCTGAAGTGGAAGGATCACCTGAGCCCAGCAGGTCGAGGCTGTGGTGGCCATGAGCTTGCCACTGCACTCCAGCTTGGACAATAGAGTGAGATTCCAACTCAAAGAAATGAAAAAAATAAAAATAAAAAAGAGGGTGGGAAACGAAGCAGCGCTGATCTGTTTAGAGTGGCTGTCCATTAATTCCTTGATTTATACCTGGCCCCCTAGGTCCTAAAAACAAGCCTTAGTAAGTTCTTACCCATTTGTCCTTGACCGTGCTGGGTCATGAGAGCCAGGATTGGAGCTGCAGTTTGGGGTGGGGGATTATGGGGGAACGTATCTGTCCCACCCAGGTACCCTTTGTGTCTTTTCTCCACAGTGGGACCCTGAAGATGTGAACCTTGAAGGGAAAAAAGACAACGTGGAGATGCTCAGATCCCAGGTGCACAGGGGCTCTCTGGGGCCAGTGCACTTGACTGCTGATGATTAATACCTTTCAGAGCCAACCCATCCACTCAGAGCCCAAGGTCAGGTGTTTGTCAGTAACTGAAAAGGGATCAACCTGCGTGGACACTCATAACAGGAACTTAAGCTGCTGCAGAAGCTGCCCGGGAAAGTGAGGAACCAGGAGCTGCCACTGTGCTTGGCTGGCCTACACAGTGGCTCAGAATGGAGCTAAGACCTTGGGTCCTGTGGACATACCTATGTAGGCCGAGTTTGTGCTAAAGGTTAGAAGTCCATAAACGGGCCAGGTGTGGTGGCTCATCCCTGTAATCTGAGCATTTTGGGAGGCAGCAGCGAGAGGACTGCCTGAGCCCACAGATTCGAGACCAGCCTGGACAACATGGTGAGACCTTGTCTCTACAATAAATCAAAAAATTAGCCAGGTTCTAGCTGCTTGGAAGGCTGAGGTTGAAGGATCACCTGAGCCCAGCAGGTCGAAGCTGCGGTGTCCATGAGCGTGCCACTGTACTCCAGCCTGGGTGACAGAGTGAGACTCCGACTCAAAAAAAAAAAAAAAAAAAAAAATGAAGCCATAAACAGCTCTTGTTTTGTAAAGACAAGCCTTTATCCAATAGTCAATGGACCCCATTTTCTTGTCTTGAGATTCAGCCATGAACTGAATACCTGCTAGGTGCCAGGAATGAGTTCTAACAAATAGCTAATGTATTTGGATCTCAGCAGAGCCCATTCTGTAAGGCCTGGCTAAGCCCAGGGAGGGAAAGGGTGAGCCCACATGCTGGGGGGCCTGAGACTCAGGAACAGGGACTGGTGGGACCTGGCTTCTGCTCTCCGGTCACCCACTTGAACGACCTGCTGGAAGTTACAAATCGGACTGAACTGCGTACTGTTGGTGAGATCACCCATACTGCAAGGACAAGAAAAGCAAATTGCCCTAGGTACCAGGACATCCTCCAACCTAGCAGGGTGTGTGCTGAGGCAGGTTTTACAGGTGAGGGGGACTGTATGTTCCAAGAAGTAAATGCATGCAGAGGGTGAGAACCATGGTGGGAAGTGTTCAAGCACAGCAATCCCTTTTTAGTGTTATTTTTGATTCTGTGATGCATGAGGGGAAGGGAGCAGTGAAAGTGGGGCTAAGGTAAGAGCGAACACTGGGGTGAATAAATTCTGACTGACTGAAAGTACCTCACTGTGGAGTACCGTGGTAAGTATAAATGCTAGCACAGTCACAGAAGACAGCCGCAAGGGGAACTGGGAGAAATGCCAGGAAACAGTTGCCATGACTCAGCTGCGGCAGCTGTTCTTCCTGAGAGGGTAGTGTAAGTCTCACAAGCACAAAGGAGGCAACTTGGGGAAGCAGGTTGGTTCTGTAGGTCTCTGCCTAGATCCTCGTCCCCTGGGTGGCCCCTGAACTGGAATTCTGCAAGCTTACAGCCACCTTATCTATCCCCTTTATCTGAACTGTGTCGGTCCCTGGTTGTCTCTTAAGGGAATGTTTGCTCAAGTCAGCTTTGCTTTGTGATCTGAACCACTGAAGCTGTACTTGCAGGATAGAGGAAGGCTTGAATAAAAGCAGGGGGCTGAAGGGGTGAGCATCCAGGGAAAGTGAAATTGTACAGTAGACTAGAGGCAGGGAAAGGGGGGTCCTGGTCAAGGAAGGATTAATCTGAGGTGGCCAGAATAGATGGAGCAATTTGGGGTGGGAGAAGAAACTGAGAAGAATCCAGACTGGGAGGGTAGGGAGTTGGTACTTGACTCTTGACTCTGTGGCCAGCTGGCCATGGAAGATACCAGAACAGGAAGGCAACTGACCTGCCTCGGGTAAGCCGTTGCTGAGGTGAGGTTTTCATGGCCATAACTTTCTAGGAGGAAGGTAAATCATGGGCAGAGAGTGAACCTGGGAAACATGTTTACTCTAGAGTATTGACAGGTAGCAGCAGGGCAGTAGGACTTCTCGTGAGAAAGACAGGTGTGGAGACAGAATGATAGCTCTGGAGTTTACCATTAGCACATCCTCCCCATCTCAAAGGACGGCTAGGGCACCAGAGATTGGTTGGATCCTGATAAAAGTGGCCACTCACCCAAGAACATCAAATGACCTTGTTGAGTTGAGTAGCACAAACTACTTAAACTCCAGAGATCATCTTCCTAGATCCTGTCATCCCAGCCTCCTCCCTTCACAGGTTCCTGTCATGGCCTCAACTTGTCTCAAGGCGGAATCTCAACTCTTTTCATGCACAGTGAATCACCAAACTAGGAATTTGGGAAGCAAAGTGTGACTTCACTGTTCAGTGAGAATCTGCCTGTATACAGAGCTCTAGAACAGTGGAACTTTTGTGAAGAGGTGCCAATTCAACTGCCTTTCTATTAGTAGATGTAGGCCTCCAGTGCAGCTTCACCTAGTTTAGTCAGGCCAGGAGAGCAATGGGAATTACTTGCCCTGATGACTCACCTTGCAGTGCAAGAGGTTACCTACACCAGGGAGGACTGGGGAACACACATGTAATCATTATCTTCTGCCCACTCCTCCAGAGATGTGTGATCTAGTCTGGTTGTGCTGCCTGTCATCTGCATGGCTTGGAGCATGTTACCTAACCGTTGGGAACTCCTGAGGTAGACTAGATAATACCAACGTAGAAAGTCTGTGGCAACGACTAAGTAAGTTAACATATATGTAAATACACAACACAATACATGGCTCAGAGTAGACTTTGAAGAGGAATTAGTTCTTCCTATACTTTTTGCACACGTGCTGAAAGACAATAACCAAAGAATCAGAGCTATGGATAGGATTTCAGAGGTTTGAATCCCTTTAACCACAACCTCAAGTAGTGACTATTCAGCCCCTACTTAAGCCCTCTGAAAAAAAAAAAATTTTTTTTTAACCGATTTCAGCTGCCAAAGAAGACTTTATCATTTAGAAAGAGATCTGACCACTAAGATTTTCTTAAATGCCTTTCAAGATCATGCCAGGTACAGCAGCTCACACCTGTAATCCCAACACTTTGGGTGGCTGAGGAAGAAGGATCACTTGAGGCTAGAAGTTCAAGACCAGCCTGGACAACAGAGCGAGACCCTGTCTCAAAAAAAAAGTCAACAAAAAAGCCTGTCTTAGATCCTGAAGAACTCATCCCTTTATCTCCCTCTAGTACTTTAATATGATTTATGAACATCATCTGATGACACATTCATGTTTGTTACAAAGAGGTATGAGCTCCTAGAGAGGTACTGAGCCAAGGAGCATGGCCGGGCTCCAGTTCCAGGTCTGATTCAGTGTGATCCTTATCAAGTCATTTCCCTTTCTGAGTCAGTCTCCTCATCTGTAAAAATGAAAGTTAGAACCAGATCTTTTTTCTCTTTTATGAATATGCCAATTGCTTCCTGGCAGAAGACTGACATCTTTATTAACCCTGAAGACAGAAGCATTATAAAGACAACTGTCAGATATACTTTGAAAATAGGTTTTATGGCCGGACTCGGTGGCTCAGCCTGTGGCTCAGCCTGTAATCCCAGCACTTTGGGAGGCCAAGGCGAGTGGATTGCCTGAGCTCACGGGTTCGAGACCCACCTGGGCAACTTGGCGAGACCCTGTCTCTACAATAAATCAAAAATTAGCCAGGCGTGGTAGCGCATGCCTGTAGTTCTGGTTACTTGGAAGGCTGAGGCAGAAGAATTACTGGAGCCCAGCAGGTGGAGGCTGCGGTGATTAGGAGCGTACCACTGCAACTAGTCTGGGCGACAGAGGGAGACCCTACTTAAAAAAAAGAAAACAGGTTTCATTATGTGATATATGCTTAATGTTTGACCTTTACTATCCATTTAAGATAAAACCTGTATCAAGCTGGGTGCAGTGGCTCATGCCTGTAATCTCAGCACTTTGGGAGATGGAGGCCAGAGGATTGCCTGAGTCCAGGTATTCGAGCCCAGCCTGGGCAACTTGGAGAGAACTAGTCTCTACAATAAATAAAATGTTAGCCAGGTGTGGTGGCGCTCGCTTCTGGTTCCAGCTATTTGGAAGGCTGAGGGGGAAGAATCACTTGAGCCCAGCAGGTTGGGGCTGCAGCAGCTATGAGCATGCCACTGCATTCCAGCCTGGGCAACAGAGCGAGACTCCGACTCAAAAAAACAACAACAAAAAACTTGTATCAATCACTAAGGTAAAGGATAGAGGAGTCTTGGGAAGAACTCCAGAATAATACTGCAAGACTTCCAAGATCCTCTGCACCACTTTTTCTGCCCCTTCTTGATCATCCTCCTCCAGTATTCTCCAATTGCTCAAGTATTGCTCTACTCGATCCTCGAGTTCATATTAGTTTTTTCTGACGTTCAGGTCAGTGCCCTGGCAGAGGAGGCTGTTTTCAACGACCCCAAGATACAGTGAAAGTGAAGTGTTGAGGAAGATCTCCTCAAGAAGTTTACACATGCCTGTTCGATATTCTAAAGATCATCAGGAGAGAGGGATGAGCTTAAAGAAGAAAGAAGTTCTAGGAATGGCGCTAGATGGAATGACTTGGAAGCGTGTAATTTGCTTTTTGTTTGTCTAACCCTGAAAGCCAAATAAGGCACCGGACATTCAGGACTGCCTCTTCTGAAGGACACGCCATTAAAAAGCGTGAACTTCTGAGCCTCCGTTAATCTGTAGTCTGGAGAGCTCAGCGTACACTACCAATTCCGTCGGAAATTTCCCATTAGCCGCCGGTATCGGTGGCGGAGGGCCTGGGGCTTTTCTTATTTGTCCTCGGGGTGTGCCGCTGTGACTGAGGCGGGTTTAATCCCTCGGCACCAGGGGCGCTTGCCCCCTTTTCAAGTTCTAGGGGGCTCATCCACGATCGTCTCAACGTTACAGCAAGATCGAACTGTGGGAGGGGACCACTGTTGGCACCGGCCAGAACTGAATCCAGGTTTCTCACTGCCTACCTCTTCGGGAAAGCAACAGCCGCCCATGTCTTGCAGTCCCTCAAGCCGCCGCCCGGGGACTTCCGGGAAAAAAAGGGAAATGCGCGGCTTGGCGCGTGCGCACTCCGCAGC